TTTCAACTAATTCTTTGAAATCACCTGTCAAGTGATTATGTTGGAAATATTAAAAAAATTGATATGGGCATGTGTGTATGTTGGGGGTGGGGATAGAAAATAAAATAATTCAACATAGAGCAAAGACATAAAAAATGATGAGGACAGCTTTTTAAAAGGCAGAAAAAATTAAATCCCTTGAGATATACAGTCTGATAATTTATTTTTGGGATTATTTGATTATAGTGTATGTGAAAGTGCATTGGAAATTACGACATTCTATACAAATGTGAAATAGCAATATTACTACCATGTTATACAACAGTGTGCATATTGTATTATCTTACAGACTTTCTGAAACTTTTATCCTGGAATTAGTTTCAGCATAAAGGAAGTGTAATAATAAAAAAATGTAAAAGTATTTCTAGATGCTTTTAAAATTAGGATAGATTTCAAGAAATATTAAATCAGGATTACATAAATAGCATAAAAATAAAAAAGGCATTAGAATTGATGTTTTGTAATAGAGGAGAATTATACATTTATAAGCATAATGAACATAAGTGTTTGTTGCTTTCTGCATTTGTTCCTACACATGAAGTCCTTATTTTCTGAAGGAACCCCAGTGGCCTTGTAAGAGTCATTCTCTTATTTCCTTATGACTAATTAAAGATGAAAACATTTTGCATTAAGCTGGTACCTTTTTTTGTTTAAGAAAAAGTAAATTTCCTCTTTATCTTACATCTTGAAGTTACTCACTAAAAATTTATATAAATCAGATATGATGACAATTAAATAAGAACTTCAAGCCTATTCATCTCATGGGAGTACTACTGTGACGTCTTTCAGAGAACGTTGCGATTGCTCAGTCTAAGGATAAGCCCTATAAAATGACAGGCTTTGACATGCTGGTCAGAGAAGAGGGAAGAGCAGTAGGCAGCAGGAACAGCCAACCCTTAGCCAGTACTAGGGCAGAGAACTGCTGGAGCCTTCGTCGTGCTCCCAGGACTTCAGCACCCGAGACAGCTCCCAAACTCTCCAGAACACTGCTCAGCAAGGTGAGTAAAAACTTCACCTTTCTTCTCCCTTTTCCCTCCTGCCTTCGGAACTTTTCTCAGGATATATTAGAATTTTTCAGTGTTTCTTCTTTTAACAGCAAAAAGACAAGTTTCTGAAGTCACCTGGTAAGAATAGAAATACCTCAATCTCTCTCATATGAAGTTCTTGACTAAAGGGTTCAGTAGGTACATTTGTTTTTGAAGTTTTCGAGTTGTTGTTAAAACACTGTTTGTATTTTATATGTTGCTTAAGTAAACCTAGGATGCATTATTCTCCTTTTTAATTTAAGTTTAAATGCTGTGATTCTTACAGACAGCAAGAGAAACAGAACTTCAACTCCTAAGATTTTATCTAGAAACTATTTACCAATGAAATGTATAAGTGGATAAAATGCAAGAAATGCTAGCTTTATTTTTAATATATATTTTTTTACTTTTATGGCAAAACTTACTTCAATGACAATATGTGGTTCAATGATTTGGGGGTATTAATTTACTACTAATTGAGTTATGTTGTTCAAACCCAGGTTTAAGGAAATGTGTTCCCAGTAATATCTACGGTTGAGAGGAAAAAGAAATGTGTATACAAGAAATTTTTATACTTATATGTATTGTATACATTTTATTCACATTATATATATACACAACACATATATGTACATACACATGTATGTGTGTATAGTTTACCAGTAGTAGTATAAGAATTATAAATAGATGATACCCAGTTTTATA